CTTTCATATTTACCTACCTTCTGGCCAGGAGCCCAGGCAGGAGGACTGGTTTAGACACATCACTGAGCCCCCTTGGCCTCAGTCTCCTCCTCTGTAAAGTGGGCGGCCTCGCTTAGCTTATCTCCAACTTCCTCTCAGATACTAAAAGCTCCCTCACCCTGTGCTGTGGGTTAAAGACGACACCCCGGGTGGAGCAGCTCTTCGCACAGGGGCACGGTCCTCTGCAGGGAGATGCACGGCCCTGTTTCAAGGACGGATACAGAGGACATCGCATTCCGGTCTTCCTCCCCCGGCACGGCCACGCCCCTGTGCAGTGGCAGGCAGTGGAGCTAGTTCTCTAGGCCTGTGTCTCCACCTGCACCAAAGGCAGGTCCAACCTTCCCAAGGGCCCTCCTACGCTGACCGTCTGGTTCCGAGGAACTCCCCCCCTCCCCCAGCAGGTGCCAGCGGGAGAAAGAGGGATGCACTCTATGAAGTGCTGGTCACCTGTGAACCCACTCCAGGAGGAAACACAGGTGTTGCCACCGTTGTCCCTGGGCCCCGTGCCTCCAGGTCAGAGCTGTGGATTGGATCGCCCAACCTGAAAGAGAAGTCCTGTTAGAACTTCCAGTCATGAGATTAGAGACGAGACCCAAAAGGAACCAAGGTCCCGCCTTCAGGAGGGAGGCCGACCCTTGGGGTTTCCCCCTTTGACTCTGCAGGGTCAGGAGAAGAGATCTGGCCTCGTCCACCAGTCTTTGCACCACTAACCCTTTTCGCCCCGGAGTTTCCACATCAGGAATCTGTCCTGGGGAGACCAGGGGTGTCCATGTTCATCGGCAACAGTGATCGAAAACAGGAAAACCGGGGACAAGCGAGCTGTCCAACGGGAGGGGACTGGTTCAGTCAGCCGCAGGGAGCCCACAGCGGGGCATGTGCCGTCACCAGAGTGCTCATACATAAAAAGCCCACGTCACCTGAAGGGGAAAAGGGGCCACACACAACATAACTATCCTATATATGTCAGAGAAGGAAACATGAAAACGAGAATGAGAAGAAGAATATCCACCAACACGGTAATGATGATGTTCTCTGGGTGATAAAATGATGGCTATTTAAAACCATCTTCTCTTTTTCCTCATCCGTGCCTGTTAGGTTTTCTAAAATGAGCATCTGTTACGTATAACGAAAAGCAGCGTTGTGGTACAAATTACGTAAGGGCAACCATTCTTCCTTTCAAAACGCTTTCTATGAAAACGGACTGCCTTCCGCTGTGTCCCTTCACCCACTTGCTCTAAAAGTGTTTGAGGGCCCTGCCCCAGGCGCTCTGCTGGGCTCCGGCGCCACATCCGTGCACAGCGCAGATGAGCACCCTGCGTGCCTCCCGGCGCGGGGAGAAAGGAAAATATATATAACAGGTCGTGAGGAGGGACAGGGTGCCGCGCTGACCAGGGCGGGTGGGGAAGCTCAGGCTCAAAGCGTCGCCCGAGCAGAGATGGGAGCACGCCCTGGGCCTGCACGGGTCAGAGGAAGCACGGAGTGCGAAGGCCCTGGGCGACAAGCAGGCTCGGTGTGTTCCAGGAGATGAAACCTTAGCCAGCAACCAGCAGGCATTTTGTTCACCCAGGCGTGCTCCCCAGGAGGCCAGGATGGCCGTAAAGGAGCAGAATCTTAATCCGTTGCCCGGTGGCTGAGTAGGAGGTAACAGGCTCCGGGACTCATAGCCGGTTAGAGAGACACAGGCGCGGCTGCACTCCGTTAACGGAGCCACTGAAACACCTCCCGGATCCTTTGTGGTTGTCGGCTCCAGGAGCCACGTGACTTCCCTGAGCTAACGCTGCCGTGGCTGCAGGTGAACGGCTACCTTAGATGCAAGGCGCTGTGCTGAGGTCCCGGTTGTCCATGGCATCGCTGTTTCTGTTACCCATGGGGTGGCACCGAAACGCCATCCGCCTCCTATTGCTAGGGCTCTTGGGAAGAGCCCTGAACACAGAGCATTTTCATCGTTGGGAGGAAAGTTTAGAAGAAACCCACAGTATTCGTCTGCTCCTGTGGTTGGTCGCCGTTGGCCGTCCACCCTCGGGATCTTAGAAAGAAGCTTCCATTGTTCCCGGTTCCTCTCTCTACACTTTGCAGACATCTTTGATCAATACGTTCTTCCAAGCTGTGTTTTCTATTCGGCAAGAGGACACAGCATTGCCGGAGACATTCTCAGAATAGGTAGGAACGGACGCAGGGATAGTGGAATGGAGTTGAAGAGTCCAGCATTCTTCAGGGGGTCACCCAAAGGCTCTCTGGTCATAGGATGGACCTCTGGGAGACCTGGAATTCTTCGTCTCTGCATTCTCACGGTAATGACTCGTTGGGGTTAGGTTCCTACTGAAGAGTTCTGTCTCTTGGGCGCTGTCATATCAGTGGCTGGTGACTTAGGAATCCACACTTTCCCCGGGTCTTCATTCTGTCTTCCCACATCCCGCAGATAATACATCGTCATTATGCAAAACCCCAGCATTGCAGAGTAGCTATGGTATTAAGTGAAACCATTTGGAATTGCCATTACTGTCAGACAGACAGTCCCATCTCATCAGTTACATGGCCCAACCAAATAGAAAACGAACATCCCCCACAATCCGACCCCTCGTAGCGACCCGGCGTTGTAGTTTGGCGCATCCACCGCTCATGTTTAATTTGAAAAATCCCCCACAGTGAGCTGCAGAGCCTCTCGCAATCCAAACATGGGCTTTAAACGCACCCCCACGCCTCCACCCCACCTCCAAGAATCGAGGGGTGGAGGTGCCGTCCGGTTCACTTGTTGTGATGTACTTTACAGAGACAGCAGCACAGGAGTCCTTTAAGGTGGGCATGCCTTCGATGGCGGCAAACCGTTGTGACTTTTCAGGAATAACTGTTGTGTAAGAGGAGGTGTGTGTCAGTTATTAATGAGTGAGTTTCCTGATGGGAGAACACTGCTCATCCCCACAACCCCGACTTATTAAAATGGCAAAGGACATTTTAAAAGAGAAAAGAAAAACGGAAGCCATGGTACATAGTGCTGTAAAATAAAATGACTTCAACTACTGAAGATTTTGCATGCTTTTTTAAAAATTAGGCTAAAACCCAGCATGGCTTACTGGCCATGAGTTAGCCACTCAGAATCCAGGATTGTCCCGTTCCTTGGAAGGTGGCCTGGTAGCCTTAGGTCCAGTCTGGCACTAGGGAGACTGAGAGGCAAGGTTTGAGCTGGGTTTTGTGGGGATCGTGAGGGCCTGGCTCCGACGGGAAGAAGAACCGAAGACCCACGGCAGGAGCGAAGCTGGCGTGGCCGGGACAGAGGGCTGGGGCGTGGCAGGGGCTCCGGGCAGAGGCAGAGCCCAGCCAAGCGTCTGTCTCCTCGTCCTGTGTGAGGACTCAGCTTTTTCTCTCCGCCCCGTGGGAACCAGAGCCCTGGTTGGGTTACAGCCCCCACGTGCCTGGGCGAAAAGGCCCGTCTCAGTGTGGAGGCGCCCCCACCGCCCACGTGCCCCCTTCTCGGCCCTGGCATTGAAGAGTGTTGAAGGCGGGGGACGGTTAGGAGTGCCGGTGAGGCAGAACCCCTGGCCTGGCCCGGCCCATCGCAGCGTCCCCCTGAGTTACAGGTGTGCACGCTCCGCAGCTGCTTAGAGCACCCAGAGCAGCGAGTCCGCGGCATTTGGGTCTTTTCAGATGTTGCTGCGGACGGCACTCCTGATAACATAAACGTCATCTCTTTGTGCCTCTTTCTGATAACGTTTTCTTTTTGTAAATCAGAAGAGCATGATAGAGTGGCTTAGCCGGCGTTCTCCTCTCAAACTCGAACTTCCCGGTTAGTCATTTAAAGTTAGACACAACCCAGAAAGTCTCTCAACGTGGGACTGGCCCAGGGCAGCCACTGGGAGGACGGGCTGGTCCTGAGGTTGAGGGCGGCTCTGGTGGGACCCGAGTCCTGGCTTTCCTGGCAAGTCTGTCTTAAATGGCCTGCCATCCTCTGTCGGAGGGGAGGCCGTCTATGTGTCATGGCAGTGCAGGCTCTGTGGTTACAGAGCATCCGTGTTCCCTGCGGCCGCTAAGTCCACCTCCCACATATGCTGCCAACAGGGGTTGAGTTCAGCTGTACTCAATGCTTTTGACCTTAAAGCAGAAAAGTAGGGCCCATTTTGTTTTTTTCTACTCCCCCCACCCCGTGTTTTAATATCTCTGTTTAACTGGGCTGCTCAGCCCCTCTGAGCATGCATCCAGGCCATGAGGTTTGATCCTTATATAGACCGGGTTTTTTTTTATAAAATATGTTTTTATTGATTTCAGAGGGGAAGAGAGAGGGAGAGAGAGAAGCATCGATGATGAGAGAGAATCATCGATTGGCTGCCTCCTGCACGCCCCCTACCAGGGATCGAGCCCGCAACCCGAGCATGTAACCCATGTAGCCGGGAATCGAACAGTGACCTCTCGGTTTATGGATGGATGCTCAACCACTGAGCCCACCCACTGGGTGTTACTGTGCCTCTTAAAGGAGCAATGCATCATCCCCACAGCTTGCCATGGAGGTTCCTCTCCAGGGGTCGTGGTCTCCCTTTTGGCAGGGGTACGGTTTCCTTCTGCAGGGGAACCTTCTGTTGGAAAACCTACCAATAAGGAAAACATCAGCGCACAGTTTATTCCTTTCCTCACGTGGTAACTGTGTGAAGCCCCCCCTTCCCCAGCCGTTATGTCTGTATCCCGGGGTGAGACCCAGCCTGCCCTGGGCAGAACCCCTGACTTGGTCCTTGGTTAACCAGAGAGTTGTCTCTGCATAGGTCAGGGCGGCTTCTGGGCACTTGGCAAGTGTTGCCTTCCGGGTGAGTACAGCCAGTGAGTGGGAATAGGTATGTCTCCTCAGGCCCCTCGCCCCCCTTCTCGCCGCCTCCCCCCTACCCCCTCCCAGAGGCATCAAGCCTGGTCACAGTGTTCCCTGTCTGTCTTTTCCCGGGGAAGGAATGTCTGACTGTGTGTCCCTGTCTCTTGTTCAGAAAGCCAAGCTTGGCCCCGCTGGGAACAGAGCGTATGGCCCCTCGCCAGACAGGAGACTTTCCAACAACCTGGACCGCGTGAAGCTCACCGACTTCAATTTCCTCATGGTGCTGGGGAAGGGGAGTTTTGGAAAGGTAAGAAGGAGGGCCTGGCCCCTGCCGCAGCCAGGCCTTCGTCCCGCGTGCCGGGTCAGCTCGTTCCTCCTGGCGCTTCCGGAGCAGCCTTGCAGGTTCCCCTGCTCCCTGTCCCTGCGTCTCAAGTGCTTCCCACCTTATTTCATTACAAACAACTACATCAGAGGGTCGCCATGCAGCACCGTGCATCTCGGTGCTCGGAGCAGAGTGGGTGCTCCACGGTGTTGGCCGAGTGAATAGCTTTCACGCCTGGAAATTAAGCGTTGACTTGTAGTAAGTGAATGGAATTATTATGAGATACCGAGCTGGGTGTCTTCAGCCTGTGTGTCCGCATTTGGCTTTTCTGGCCCCAAATCTCACCCTACCTGCAGGAGCTCATTGCTGCCCTGCCTGCTTCTTTGTCTTGGTTCCTGGCTCATGAGAAGCTTATGAAAGTCAGTCCCTTTTTGCCCTCAGGCTGCTCTCTGGAAATGCACAGTCCCACCCCAACGCTGATAATGTCATGTATTCCTATTAGCAGCCGCAACAGCGCCATCGTGTGGCGACAGCCTGCACAGGGTGCAAATCTGGCCGCCTTAAAAGAAACGGCCACATGCGGGAGGGATTTAATTGGCAGTGACCTGCGATGTTTCATAGTTTGCACATCAAGTGGAGCGTTATGAATGCTTTCACGTCACACGCGTCCATCATTGCACACACTGTCTCACCGACTGGGCTGCCCCCTGCCCCCAGCCGGTCTCAGGCGGCCCCTCCTCTGCTCTCAGGTGATGCTGGCGGACAGGAAGGGCACAGAAGAACTCTACGCCATCAAGATCCTGAAGAAGGATGTGGTGATCCAGGACGACGACGTGGAGTGCACCATGGTGGAGAAGCGCGTGCTGGCCCTGCTGGACAAGCCCCCGTTCCTGACGCAGCTGCACTCCTGCTTCCAGACGGTGGTAAGGACCCTGCACACCGCGTGCTTGGGCCGCCCCGAGCCCACGCACCATCCTACCCACCTTACTTTGCAGAGAAGGTTGGAGACCGCTCAGCCCTGAGCCTTCTCCGCCCGGCAGAGGCAACCGGGGACAGCCCCTCTGCCTGGTGCCGCGGTCAGTTCGGAGCATCCCCTCCCGGTGGGGTGCCCTACTTAGAGACTTGGCATTCGTTCCATTTAATTCAGCAAACATTTGCATCAAAGGTTTTCTTCCTGCCAGGCAATGTGCTGGGACTTCAAGATGGAGCAACAATAAGATAACTCAGAGTGCTGGCTCGGTAGCAGGCCAGCCAGCCAGCTGCCCAGCGTTGCCTGGGGACCTTTGGAGGCTCGGTTTTGTAAAAGAGTGTGTTCCTTTTCAGTGCACACAGCAGGGGTGGGCAATCTGGCCTGTACTGTTCAGCCTATGAGCTCTAAGAAAGGTTTAAGAAGCAATAAGAATTCTATTTCGTGCCATGTAAAAGGTAGATGGAGTTCAGGTGTCAGCGCCATGAGAAGGTGTCTTGGAGCACAACCAGGCCCAGACAGTCACTGTCGTCAGTGGCCGCCTTCCTGCTACGAAGGCAGAGTTGGGTAGTGGCAAAACACGCACACAACCTACAGTATTGACTGTCTGGCCCTTTAAGGAGAAAGTTTGCTAAGCCCTGTCCTAGGCAGAGGACAGAGAATATTCCGGAGCACTAATCAGCTAGTGGCGGACCCGGGCCCTGGTGTGGTGCTTGCAGGTGGCCTGCAAGAAATAGGAACTCGGAGGTGGCTTCCAGTGCAGCATCCCCACTGCTCAGCCACTCTCCTCGCTAAGATAGGGCTCAATCATCAGTCATTGTAATGTTACTGTGGTGGTTACAACTCCCTCAGCCAGAAATTGACTTTCTGTTTCCTGTCTCCCTTTAAAAATCTGTCGGGAGGCGCCCCCTTAAAGCTCTTGGATTTTAAAATCTCACAATGGCAGTGCAGCCGCACAAGATCAGACGTGGGGTGCAGAGCCAGGCGCGGCCATCATGTGCCCGCCTCGCGCTAGGGCCCGGGCGGGCAGCTCCCCGCTCCCAGCAGCATCCGAGTAGCACTGAGGAGAGAGAGACAATGTGCGAGGAAGGGAGAGCCGCGTCTTGAATCCCAGCCCGGATCCTGTAACCCTGGTTACGCTGATTAAGCTCCAGAACGCTACAAAGCAGAGAAATAAAGATTAAATTAAAGTTCATAACGGCGAGGCTGGAGAAGGAAGCTCCCGGAGCCGTTTCCTGCCTGGTGGCAGCAGCTTCATCATTTCTCCTTCCCTGGGCAACACTTCAGTGTTTCATAACCTCTGAAATGGTGATGTTTTCTAGAAGGGAACAGAGGCCAGCTGTCAGCTGGGCGTGCTGTCCCTGCGACCCCCACTCCATCTCCCCTCTGTCCCAGCACACTGCCCTCAGACGTATGCACATTTATTTGGTTCTATGATGTGTGCCCTTCCTGGGGCCAGTGCTTAGCATACCAGTAAGAGGGGACATCAGAACCACATGGGCATATTATGGATGCCAAAGTGCTTTTGATTCGCCCCTCCATGCGGTCCCCTCCCCCACAGTAAATGTGGTTGAGCATTTGTAATGCATACGCCCAACCTGACTCTCCGGGTTTGTGTTCAGAAGCACCCAGCTAAATATATGACTGCATTGCTCTTGCATGCCTCTTAGTGCAAAGCAGAAACACTGGTTGAAACTAAATAATTGGCCCCTATGGATTCCTCAGTCGTCCCTAACGTAGGACAGTGTTCTGTGTGTGGGAGCAAAGGGTAGACCATTTGAGGCCATGACTGTCACAGGGAGCATACGTGACCAGAGGGGCCGTGACATCCGAGTTAGGTACTGACCACCTCCCCAGGGTCCTCACGCAGTAGGTCCGTGACTTACTCTTCACTTGGGAAGAGACGTGTCGAAGGGCGGCCCTGAGCGGACTGTCAGCGTGGCCCATGCTTCCCTAAGAGAAAACCACGCCGGTCTGGGAAGCGTGAGGGGCGCCTTCCCCCGACTCAGCTCACCTGTCGCACTTGGCCTTCAGGATCGGCTGTACTTCGTCATGGAATACGTCAACGGCGGGGACCTCATGTACCACATCCAGCAAGTAGGAAAATTTAAGGAGCCACAAGCAGTGTGAGTATTTTGTTTAAGTCCCTTAGTTTAGACACACAGCAGCCCCAGCTGGGAGCTCCTGGCTGAGTGAGATGCAGGTGGGCTCTGCTCAGTTCAGGGGAGGGAGGGCTGTCACTTCGGGGGTGGGGGGGAGGTTTATTGGCGGGGTCCATCTCCGTGTGTCCTAAGGAGAGGGTTATGTGCTTCTTGTAAGTGGGGATGCGAGCGCCGTCCGCCCTTGTTCGTTGGCTCAGCCCCTCTGCCCCTCAGTTACTGGACTTGTGGTCATGTGCACCCACCACGCCCCAGGCAGCGGGCCGGTGAAGGCATGAGTGGCCCCTGCCCTGGGAGCTCACCCTCTGGCCGGAGTGGGGGGACTCACTCGACAATTTTAACGCGTTGCCATAACATTAAAGGTGGCCCAGGACACCATGCAAACCCCCAAAATGCGGGGGGTGAGGGAAGAGCATCCTGGGGATTGCCCATCCCAGAGGCTCAGGATGTGGAGGGGCAGTGGAGGGGGTACTCGGGTGACACGCCCAGTGGGTGCCAGGCCAGGGGATGGGAAGGTAGGTGTCACCACCAAGAGGGGGAGATGGGAGGGCGGTGTGGCTGGTGAAATCTATGGAGAGCAGAGAACAAAGTGGAGGGACTCGTGTGTTTGAGAAGTCTCTGGAGGAAGAGAACCAGACGTGGCGACTGTGGGGGTGAGCAGAGAGAAGCCTCTTCGTGTGACGCCCCATTTGGCGGGGGGGTGGAGGGGGCGTGTGGGCAGCCAGCCAGGAGGAGGGGGTTAGGGGGGAATCGGGAGCTCCGTTGGAAGGTTTCATTGGGACGCGCCTGGGATGCCGGGATGCGCATCAGCCACGTGGGAGAGAGACCGGCTCCAGGGAAAGATGGAGAGGATTCTGACCAGAGGACAGGCGTGGGTGCCTGAGAAGGCATCCCCCTTCTCTGGGGCCAGGAAGCCCCAGGCAGCACAGGGAGCAAAGCTGAACACACAGCACTTCCTTCCCCTCCACGGGGACGCCGGCGGCATGTGTCCCGAGGGGTCCCGTCTGCACGTGTTCATGGGACTCTGGCTGACGTTCATGGGAGAGTTGAGTTGGAGACGCTGGCCTGTGTGCAGGGCCTGCCCCGGGGAAGGTGGTGCAGGCCGCGGGGGAAGTCCGCTAGCAAGCGTAGAAAACGTGGAGGCGAGTTTCATTCTCCTCCGTTTTCAGAAACGCCTGCCCTTATGCCCTCGCTCGTGCTGTCCGTCAGAAAGCCTGGGCATGCTCGGATTGCCAAGTGAGGCTGAGCTAAAGAGCATGGCACGGAATAGCCACCCTGTGTTATAAAGTGACAGAGAGGGCCAGTCCCCTTTCATTGTATTTGTGTTGCCAGGAAGGTTTTATTTTTAAAAAGATAGAAAAGCCCGAAGAATATTGTCCAAGCCGCCGATAATCCATCTCTTATTTCTCTCGGATCTCTCCCCTCTCCCACCAGCCTCCCTCCCCCACCATACACACACACACACACACACACACACACACACACACACACACACACGTGAGGGGTTTGGTCCTTGTGGTTGGGTTTTCTCGGCTCACGCAGACATCTGTGCTCACCTAGGCCTCCTGGGTCGATGTGCGCACAGGCAGTTCTGTGGCTCCTCAGACTTCAGAGCTTCCTGAATACGATACCAATTTAAAACATCTCTCAGCGTTTATCCTGCGTGTTAGACAGGCACCTACGAATGATCCTGAAGTGACGGCAGCCGCTGCTTTCTATTATGAATTATTTAGACGGGTAAACTCGGGCATGAGTCGGCGTGTGTCCCACTTATCCCGGCGCTTGGGGTAGAGGTGGGGGTGAGGAATCCAGCTCAGGAGCTCACCACACACTCCGCTTCGTCTTCCAGGAATAACCGTGTGTTTAACACTGATGTATTCTGTTCACGAGGAGAAACGTGGAAATCGGCTCTGCCGCAGTCCCCATCGGCTCTGGCAAAGAGCAGTCTAACAGCCACTCTTTTAAAAAATATATATATTGATTGGTTTTAGAGAAAGGAAGGGAGAGGGCAAGAGAGAACCATCAATGATGAGAGAGAATCATGGGTCAGCTGCCTCCTGCACGCCCCCTACTGGGGATTGAGCCCACAACCCAGGCATGTGCCCTGAATGGAATCGAAACCCTGACCCCCTGGTTCCTGGGTTGCCACTCAACCATTAAGTCATACCAGCTGGACTAACAGCTGCTCTTTAAGAGATTGTATTAGGGCCCAGCCGGTGTGGCTCAGTGGTTAAGTGTCAACCCAGGAACCGGGAGGTCAGGGTTCGATTCCTGGGCAGGGCGCATGCCCGGTTCCTAGCTCAATCTTCAGAGTAGGGTGTGCAGGAAGCAGCCGATCCATGATTCTCTCTCATCATTGATGTTTCTCTCTCTCTCCCTCTCTGAAATAAATAAAAAATATATTTAAAAAAATTTTTTTGAACAAAGATTGTAGTCGGAAATTCTCTTATAAGTTACCTGCCCACCTGCCCCAGACGAGAAGTGCTTGTTTCTGGGCAGGAGCTAAACCCATCTGGTTGGTTTTATTAGCTGTGTCATCTGTAGGGGCAATTGGAGCGATGAACAGCAGAGGGAGGGGCGGGGGGCTGGAAAAGCAGGCGTGGGGTGACGCTATCTGTGACAATCTCACTTCCCCGGCGCCGGGACTGGGTGGGACAGGGACCAAGTCTCCTGGAGTCCAGAGGAGCCTGACCAGCTTTTCCTCTCGCAGATTCTATGCAGCAGAGATTTCCATCGGCCTATTCTTCCTTCATAAACGAGGAATCATTTACAGGTGCGTGGCGAAACTCCCCCACCCTCCGTGCAGTTGAGCATTTGGCTGGACCCCTGGGTCTCTGTGGGCGTGTAATTCTGGGATGGGGACTTTGTGGAGTCCATGACCCCCCAGGCAACAGATCCCTGCTGGGACCCTCCGGGCGATCGGAACCACCTTCTGTTCTCAGGACCTCACGTACTCGTCTCCTTTCTGCTTCCCACAAGAAAACGTGCTTTTCTTTCCACCGACCACTCCCCCTCTGCCTTGGATGCGGGAGGAAGGTCAGAGGGCGATGGAAACAGGATTTCTGTGAGACGCTCAGCTGGATGAGGACATGGGGAAGAGGGGAGAGGCCAGGGAAACGCTCCTGAGTTAAATCCTTCCGGCTGTCAGCTGTTGCGAAGGTCTGGTGCCAAAGGGAGAAGAATGTCTTCCAGCATTGCGTGGAGAGAGATGGAAAGGGCCTGTGGTCCGAGGCAGGAGAGGGGGGACACGGTTGGGACCTGTCGGGTGGTGCTGTACCTGCGGTCTGCACACCTGGGTCAGACCCCTCTGCGTGGGATGCAACTAAATTGGACGACTGGCCTGTCCCAGATCTGCTAACTCGGAGTCTCTGGTGATTCCCTCGTGCAGCCAATGGTTGGGGACAAACTAGTTTGGCCATTTAGTCGTTCATTTAACACCCATCCATTAAGAACTTGCTGTGTCCTGGGCACTGTGTGTATTAGGCACTGGAGATGAAAAAATAGTAGTTTCTGGTCCCGACTCCCCTGGTACTTGTAGTTCATGTGCCATTGAGGCGGCAGCTCGTCAGAGATGCACCTCAGTAGCTGCAGAGCGAACCGTGCTCCGCACGCGGTGGGCAGGGCACTGACACTATGCCCCTTCCCCACAGGGACCTGAAGTTAGACAACGTCATGCTGGACTCGGAGGGGCACATCAAGATCGCCGACTTCGGGATGTGCAAGGAGCACATGATGGACGGCGTCACGACCAGAACCTTCTGTGGGACCCCAGATTACATCGCCCCGGAGGTAGGGACCCCCATTCTCCTGTTTCCTAGACCAGCGCCTTCACACTGCAGCCACTGCTCCCTCCTGGGGTGCGGAGCCGTCCTCAAGTCACTGTGTGGGCCTGTGACAGCAAAACAGGAAGTAGAGACACGCACGCGCGTGCCACCTAGTCGGTGCACGCCTTGTTTTTTGAATCTTTGCTCTACTGTGTGCACAGGTAAGCCAGTTGCACAGTTTCGTGGTCACGGTCCAAACAACTTAAGAAGCTGGGCAGGGAAGGAGGGCTCTGGCTTGTTAGCATGTTCTTCGTGGGGAAACTGGGTGAGAAGCTGGTTCCGGCCCTGGCTTTTTTGCGAAATCGGAGTGATTAGTGCTTAAAGGGCCCGTGGGCACTGACCGTGTGTTTATTCTGGGATGAACGCACCGTGTGGCTCTGAGCAGAGGGGCTCTGAGGTCTGTGTGCTGACAGCCGAGGCCGCGCTGCTTTTCTTCGTGATGCTGCGTGAGGAGTGCTTTCTTCCTGGGCCGTACCCAGGCGCCGTGCAGCCAGCTGTGCCCACACACAGCCCGCGGTGGACCGTCACTTCCCGCTTCCCGGCGAGCTCCCGCAGCTGCAAGCGGGTGGTTCAGAGTCAGGCCAGCCCTGGGCTTTCCGTGGCAGCTGGTGATGGCTTTATGGTATTTAGTCAACACATCGTCCGAGTATTTCTCTCAGAGGCAGTCGGGACAGTGGGAGTGACATGAGCATAGAAGTCAGTCCCCGGTGAGCTTCCGTCCTGACTCTTATGTACAGGCTGTGGGACCTCGGGCCAGCTCCTTGCCCTCTCGGAACCCGTTTCCGCAGGGCGAGCTGGGAGAATGGTAAGTTCCGTGCAGCATTGCTGTCAGGACTCCAGTGCCTAACACGATGCTTGGCACCTAGTCAACCCCCAGGAGTGGCCATTATTACGGAAGGGAAACTGATGCATATCCCTTTGTTAAGGGCTTCTTGTTGGTTATATTCCTAGAGCATGTGGAAACATAGAGTTAGACTATATTTTTAGAAACTTAAACTCTGAATTACATGGGCAAAGGCATTATGTTATCTTGATGAGTAATTTATTGGGATTTTTCTCCCAAAAGAGCTCACACATTAGTATCCCCAGGCATAACATGAGCTTAAATAGCCCTATTTTCAAACATGAATAGCGAGATCTTACAGTAGAAATACCCCACCACCCCACCCCCGGGCCATGTCATGCTAGGAACCTGGGAACAAGCTTTCAGACGGAGGGATCCTGAGGACACCTGGCAGAGAGAGGGATGCTGGGAACACGCCCTCAGAGAGAGGGATGCTGGGAACACGCCCTACAGCAGTGATGGCGAACCTTTTGATCTCGGCATGTCAGCATTTTGAAAAACCCTAACTTAACTCTGGTGCCGTGTCACATATAGAAATTTTTTGATATTTGCAACCATAGTAAAACAAAGATTTATATTTTTGATATTTATTTGATATATTTAAATGCCATTTAACAAAGAAACATCAACCAAAACAATGAGTTCGCGTGTCACCTCTGAGACGCGTGTCATAGGTTTGCCATCACTGCCCCAGAGAGAGAGGGATGCTGGGAATGTGCCCTCAGAGAGAGGGATGCTGGGAACACGTCCTCAGAGGGGGATGCTAAGAAAACCAACTTTGGGCCTTGCAATCCCCGGAAGATAGCACGGGCTGGCCCAAGCACCCTCCGTTTCCGCAAGCCTCATTCCTCTCCTTGTACTCACCGCACAGCAAGAACAAAGAAAGCCCTGTGTTCATCGAGTGTCTGCTACGTGCCAGACACCTTACGTGCTCTCCCTCCAATCCCATACCCAGCCCTGTAAGGGACGAAACATCAGGCCCCGGTCGCAGGGCAGGCGCCTGCAGGGTCAGGAATGGTCTGAGGCCACCTTACTAGGAGATGCTGGAGTCAGGCGTCCACCCCTGGACCGCCTCCAGGCCTTTGCACGCCCACCACACTAAATGCTGCTCACACCGCAGGGAGTCACGTGTTCAGAGAGCACTGCGCATGCTTTCCTGGGCGAGCGGTGCCACCAGGGTGCAGGGCGATATCAGACGAGGGCCCTGACCTCAGAGTGCTTACAGCTTAGGGGAGGGGAGCCCCGTGCAGACAGCAGGAACCGAGATAGGTTTAGGTTCCAATCAGCCTTCATTGAGAACTGAGCGGTGCTGGTCTGGGAGCTCAATCCATAGTGGCTGGAGGTTGTTGCCCCTTCGGCCAGCGTTTTCCTCCTAAAGGCCCCCAGGGGTCATTGTGGGGTGGAGAAAGACCATCTAGGGTCGAGGTTTCTGAATTGGGTCAAAGGTTAACATTCTCCTGTCCTCTGTGTAAATCGTCCTGTCAGGTGGAGGCAAAATAATTATCTTAGATGGCATTTCCCTTAATAGGCAAAGCAGAGGCTTAAATAGTTATGGCTGTTTGTTCAGAAACCTTGAAATGGATTAGACCATAGCATCTCCTCAACCGGGAAGAGGAGCTACGGCGGAAAAGGTCGCCAACAGGTGTGATTTTGGAGTTGAGATGGTCGCCCGCGTAAGGGGCGCTAATCAGAAAGTAATACCTGGCCATGCCCATGTGTTCAGTGGTTAGAGTACCGGCCACACCCTAAAGGGTCTCAGGTCCAGTTCCTGGGCAAGGGCGACTACCTGGATTTCAGGTTCTATCCCGGCCCTTATCAGGGCACATCCGGGAGGCAACCAATCTCTCTCTCTCGCTCTCTCTCTCTCTCTCTCTCTCTCTCTCTCTCTCTCTCTCTCTCTCTCTCTCTCTCTCCTTCTCTCTCTCTCTTCTCCCTCCCGCCCATTGTAAAAATCAATGGAAAAAATAACCTCAGGTGAAGAATAACAATAAAAGCCCAAGTGATTCCTGAAGCCAACTTGAAGTCCACCCTTTGCTTTGACCTGGAAAGAATTCTCCGGGTCAGTGAGAGTCCTTGACAAGGCCACACAGACACTCTCTCTGGACTTCATCCCCCACCAGAAAGTTAGTGATGTGGGTGTCTGAGAGCCAGCGCTCAGATGTGATAGCCCATCTTTTCTTTGACATCCTTTAGGCCAAGTTGCACATGTGGCCAAGTTCCAGATGTGACCCAAGTTGCACATTCCTCCACCTGAACTGCAGTCAGAGCCCTGAGTCAGGGACGGTCCCCGGCACCTGTAATGCGGTCCGTGACTTGGGATCTCACTGCAGCTGTTAAGACCAAGCAGGTCCCTCAGAAGCCAAGGGTGAACCAGCAACACTAAGTCCCTCTCCCTCACGTGCATCCATTAGTCGGGTGTTTAGCAAGTGCCTACTAAGTGCCTGGGCACGCTGGGCAGGAAAGGAGAGCCCAGAGGGACCTGGGAGGAGGCTGGGGCTGGGGGCAGTTAGAAATACTGTCCGGGTTTAGAGACACGTGGGTTTAGAGACACGTGGGTTTAGAGACGTGGCGAGACAGTATTCCCCTTGCCAAGAACAGGTGGCACCTCCAACACGGCTGAAATGGCCAGGAGACGTCTGCGGGCACCTTCCTTGCTGAGCCCCGCCCCCGGGTCTGGAACCCCGCCCCCGGATCTGGAGCCCCGCCCTTCAGGCAGATGCCTTTGGGACTGCTGGATGTGGCATGCTGCCTGCCAAGGTGTGGCTGTGGCACAGGAGACCCGGAGCAGAGCTGCAGGCTCGGAAGCTGCTGTTGTAAGGGTGGTTCCCAAGGCTGCCAGGGGCTGAGGCAGATGGCAGAGGACAGAGTGCAGAGGACAGCCAGGGACCCTGAGTGCCCGAAGGTTGGCGAGACATCAGCCCGGGTCCCCCAGACAGCCAAGGTGCCCCCAGGGTTGGCATCCCAAGACCTTTCCTGGCCGTGGGGGAAAGGGTTGTAGAGAGGGACAGAGGATAAAAGGAGTAAAAGTTAAATGAGAAACAGACTCAGGCAGTAAATTACTTGGCAGACGGAGAAGAGCAGGGAAATGAGGTGGAGAGAGGCCAGGCGGCTCCAGCCACCCTGGGATCCGCACCTCTAAATCACGGCCCCACACACCCCACACACACCCGCACGGGCGCGAGCCAAGAAAGCACTGATTGAAGAAAGAGATGATAAACCGAAGGGCGCCTGTCTTTCTGTCAAAGGCCAGTTTCCTCCATGGAGGTCCGAGCCAGTGACTCCACTTCGCAAGAGAAATGAAGCAGCACCCACCCGCCCAGAAATACTTAAAGGGCCGAGGCCAGGCTTTTCCTTGGGTTCCTCTTTAAATTGTGTAACTCTCCCCAGGTCTTTTCAAGGAATTGTGCCGAGTGCATCAGCTCGTATACTCAGTTGTCTGCTTGCACTCTTTTTTTTTTTTTTAATATATTTTATTGATTTTTTTACAGAGAGGAAGGGAGAGAGATAGAGAGTTAGAAACATCGATGAGAGAGAAACATCGATCAGCCGCCTCCTGCACACCCCCTACTGGTGATGTGCCCGCAACCAAGGTACATGCCCTTGACGGGAATCGAACCTGGGACCTTTCAGTCTGCAGGCTGACGCTCTATCCACTGAGCCAAACCGGTTTTGGCTGCTTGCAGCTCTTTAACTGCCTCCCAGCTGGGCCTCATCTGGACACCTCCAAACCCCAAACAAAGAAGAGGAATCTGCAAATCTCCCTGTAACTCCTGCTGGGTAGCCTTAGGCAGAGGCTAAATTAGCACCTCCTTAGAGATTCAAGAGCCAGTGTACCAAGTGGTCAGAGTGGGATCAACCAGATTACAACTCCTCAGATCCATAAGGGACACACTCAGGGAGCAGACTCAGTGAGCACCAAAGCCCCACTGACGCAAGTCTTGCCCCATAAGGGTGTCTTCAGCACAGCAG